GCGCCCCCCCCCTGCCGCTACCTCTTCCGGAGGAGTTTCGGCTGTGCCGGGCCAGGACGGGAGACCACTGTATTTATGGGGTGCCTCTGAATAGAGCAGCGCAGTTTCGATGCTGATGCAGCAGCTGTCTATTGAATTCCGTCCAGCAGATTTCACTTCAATAGCGAGGGCTCGCGGCACGCTGTGGAAACAGTATTCAGATACCTCCCCGCCGCGCCTTAGACCCCGCCGCACAGATTAGCGGCCAGCTCCGCATCAGCATGTTCGCATTGCTCCTCTCCAGACTCTTTGGAAAACTCCCCCATCAGCGGTTTGCAGAGGGCCCGAAGCCGAGCACGGCAAAAACGGTGCAAAACACAGACGGCGCGTTGCCGGCCTCGAAGTGAGCCGGGGTAGGGCAAGGGCTCGGTGTCGGGGGTGCCTGCGGTCCCACAGCCGGGGAACCACTTACCTGCTGAGCAATGACGTGCGAGCTGCTGGTCTCCATCCTCCTCTTCCTTCCCATCCCGTCCCCGTCTCGCCCACTGAGAGCTCACGCCGATGCCAGGCAAAGGCATCATCCTTCTCCCCAAACACACACCTTTAGGCCTGTTGCTGCCTCCCCGACCTCCCCCGGCAATCCTTCTCCCGGGGGCCTCGTGTCAAACATGGTTGTGCTGGCAAACACGGGGGGACACGTCCACGTGTTACACTTGGGAGGAAGGAAACTCGGAGTCGGTCGGGACTGCTGAAAAATGCCTGGCGCAGAGAGATATCCGTCCCTTGGCGGGGGAGATAGCTCTGCTGGGGGACGGATCTGGGGCTGGGGAGGAGCAGACTGAAGCTTTGGAGTCTCCCACCCATCGGGCTACCCCCAAAAGCCCCTTCAGTGCCAAGTGCACGTCACGCCCCGAGGTCAGCGGGGCTCAGCTGGGTGCGAATCGACCTTCCAGCCAGGCACCCACGGCTCGGACCTGATGAAGGCAAGCACTTAAGCACGTGCTTAGCCAGGAGCCAGGCCCATGCCCGCTGCAAGAGACCAAGCACCGCGTGGAAAACAGGCAGGCGAGGAGCAGCCAGCGCTGGAGCAGACCGCGCTCCGGTCCGAGGGCACGGCCGTCAGCACTTTCACCCAGCACCGTCTCCCGGCCTCAAGCCGGAGTCATAATTCAGGAGACAAATCAATCCAAGAGCTGCTCCGTTATTCAGCTAGCTGCTGGGGGAGACTTTGGCGGGGTTGTGTTTAACGAGCGTGGCCTGGGTGCGTGGCTCCAGGGGACGCACGAGAGCGTCTCCGTGGCGCGAGCAGGGAGCAGGCCAGGGCACGGGTGGAGACGGAGGGGCAGGGATTGCAGGGACGAGCCAGGCAAACGCTGGCAAAAACCTGCCATCCCGGCATCGTCTGTGCATTGCTCGCAAAGCCCTGACCGCTCGCAGCATCACGCCGCGGCCCTCAGCGTGGCTCCAGGCCCTACCCAGGGAGGGTGGGCTGAAAGTCACCGTCTCAAAGACACTTCTGCCATTTGTCTTTACCAGAAGCCTGGGCAGTCCTCCCCGGGGCAGAAATGGGCCGGCGACAGGCCGCGACGACCCGTTTTCACGGCAGAGCTGTTCTGGGGGCAGCCGGCACGCGGCGAGACGACGTGAAACCCTCCATGAAACACAAGCGGCACCACAGCTTCGTACTGTAATTTATTGTCGTGGTTTGCAACACATCCTGCACATGCGGAGAGCCGCCACAGACAGCGGTGCACCGACACTCGCGTTTATCACGCTCCTTTTCACGTTTCCACCCTCTCCACGAATATGAAATCTCACGGTTGTAAAACAGAGAACACGACTTCCAGACAGAGCAACGAGCACTCGGGGAGGGATCGGAAGGGGAATAACCTGCCAAAGACTCATCTGACACTGTGATTTTTCCCGTTTAACATTCAAAATACAGGCATTTTCCCACGGGCTCATTTCTTGGTGGCATCCTCACCTGCATTGAGTTTTGCAATGACTAAAGTGCCCATAAATCCTACTTTGTTTTCCAAGCTCGTGGAGCTTGACCATTGATAAGACAGTTGCAAAACATGACAGAGGGGACGACGTCTCATACTGATTTCCTTCCAAGCGGCGCTCGCTTTCCTCTTGCTGTCGGCTTCTTCAATCCCGTTGGGAAACACTCGCGGCACGTGGATAGAAAATATTCTTCTTCTTTTTATTTTTTTTAAATACCTGGCAAAGCTAAACTTGGAATCAGAGTCATACAATAAGTTCCACAACAGCCAGAATATCCATTTTACGTAGGAAACTATGTAGTACAAAATATTTTCTATAGCACAATATATTTATTAACTGTGTGATCCATATTTACAGGGTCTATAAGGCTATGTGGAACGATATAAAAGTTTGAACTATACAATAGCTCCTTTAAACAGGCCGCATACAATCAGCATGTCCGATGTGGTCAGAAGATAATCCTCCAGACCTTCCCCTTCCCCCTCCTCTCCAAAACCCATCAAGAGATGTGAAAAAGTATTTTGAGAGATAGCTTCGTTAAAAAAAATAATATTGATAATAATAATAATAATAATAATAATAATAATAATACTCTCAGCTGCTTGACCCGAGCCAACAATGCCTGGGGGAGAGCACGCTGCTATGACAAGAGTCCCAGGTGGACCCGGGAAGGGAAATACTTGACACTGCTCATCACAGCGCCCTGCCCCGTGCACGGCTACGACGCCCGGCTCCGGGCAAAGAGGTGGCTCACCATGTCCACCTGAAGCCAGGCAGGAAGGGGGCACCTTAGACACTTAACCGGCTCGGAGAAGCCCGAGTTTTCATAGGCAGCGACCCGCTGCATCGGGCTATCTGCCTATGAAAGCTTACCTCTGAAGCAGTTTGCTTCCAAGGTGCTGCCCTACCCTGGCCTCTTCCTTGCTTGGCCACGTCCATCTGGGGCAACAGAGGACTTGGAAGCTGGTGCACGTGCACCCAATTCAGGCCCGTGGTAAAAGGTCACCACTCCGCGGAGGATGGAAAGGGCAGGTCTTGCTTGGACACAGGCAAACTAAGCCCGCAGCACGCTCCCGGGGTGGCCCGACGAGACCAGCAGAGCCACGGCTGGCCCCCGCCTTGCCACGCCGCGGACGGGGTGGCTTTGGCCAGTGGTGCACGTCCCTGGGGAGGGGCAGGCTGCAATAACCGGACAGAGCTGGCCCACCCGTGCTTCTCCGTCCCCCGTCCCCACAGACCCCCGGTACCTGCGACACGGGCTAGCAGAGCCGAGTCCCTACGCAATGATCCAGGGCACGGGGAGAGGGGACTGCCACGGCCCCTCCCGTTAAACAGCGGGTGCGACAGCGACCCCAGATGGAGCGGTCCGTCCGACGGGAGGACAGACACGAGGGTTTTCAAGGCAGTGAAGAGCACCGGTGGGATTCCCGACTGGCCACGTCCCCGACTAGCTAGCGCCCCTCGACGCCCGTCTCTCCCGCCTACTCTGCATGCAGGATCGCTCGGCAAGAACGTTTCCCTCCCGACAGCTGTTTGGTGTTCGTCTCTCACGATGAACCCGCGCACAAATCTCACAAGGGTCGCCGGTGTTGTCAGCTACCCTCTTTCCCTCTCGAGGCTCCGGGCGTTATCCCGTGCCCGAAGCATCTGGTCGCAGCCCGGATTAAAGGTGAGCTCGGTTCAGCGGGCTTCAGCATCGGCCCGACGGGGGAAGGCATTCACACGGTAACGAGGGACAAAACGAGACTGACCAGGCTTAGCTCTCACCGCACCGGCCCTTCTGGCCTCATCTGAAGGAAACGCGGTTCAGTAAGCAAGCAGGGAGCCCTTCCCACGAGGACAGCTGCTGGGGACAGACCAGCAATCACCTTTCACCACCTTTCACAAAACGCTGCACCGAACCCATGCCAGTCGCTCTGCGCAGCGGCCTCTGCCCCTGCTCCATCCGACACGGATCAACGCGTTCACTGCAAAATGCACTGCCAGCATCGCAGAGCGGTGACAGGGGACGAAGATCGCAGCTGGCTTGGGCTCCTCGCGCTGCAGGCAGTACTTGCCTTGCCCCTGCTTTGCCTTCGAAAGACCTCACCCCCCGCTCCGTTACAGCCCTTTACGTGCATCCACCGCAACAGCGGAATATTGGACAAATTCAAGGCAAAAACGCAAAGTGCAGCAACAGAAACGTCACGATGAAACCACTGCTGCGGCTGAAGAAGACACTGGAGCAAGCCTGCAAACAAGCGTTTCTGAGTCCATCGCTGGCCGTTTCTGACCTAAAATGTGTCTGGTAGCTTGCCAGCAACGAGTGGGGGAACCAAAAATATGGCAAAGAGTAAAACTGTGTGTTTGTTCAAGCAATAAG